AGTGCAACCCTGTCTCCAAATTAAAACTGAAAAAGGCTGGGAGTGTGTCCAAGAGGATGAGTACCCCCTGGTTTGAGGCTGAGAATGTGCAGTTCCCAGCATGAGCTCTTCTCTCTGTCTCAGGCAAGAAGCTGCTCCCCACACAGGAGCACCCCTGGCAAGACAGACAGCATTATCTTAGTTCTCCTATTTGGGGCTGGTAACTGGAAAGCTTGTTTTTATGAAACACCAGAAAATGAAATAAACCACTACAAACAGCCAGCAGCCTGCAGCTCACACGGAGCTGAGCTTGCAGGAAGGAGGGGACCCCCAGGGACCCAAAGGCAGCCAGAAGCTGGAGACAAGAGCCAGATGGTCGGCGTGCGAGCCTGGCCGTGACGGGATAGCACAGAAAACCCGGACCCCAGCACTCAGCGGTAGGGGGCGGGGTGCTCTCCTGAGACACAGAACCAAAGCAGGCAGAGATGGCAACGAGAGGTGCTTTAGGGGACTCGGCTCCTGTGATGTGGGGACTGACAAGGCCCAGGAGGCCACCTGCAGGCTAGAGTCCCTCAGATGCCAGGCAGGTGGCGCAGTCCCCCTCCGGAGGCCTTGGGTATAGGGAAGCCACAGGCTTCAGAATCCGGGGTCCACTGCCCATGTCCTGGAGCCCAGAGCCTGGAGAGCCTGGAGTTGAGATGGCAGCAAGAGAGGGGTCTCAGCCCAGGAAGGGAGGCAACCGCATCTTTGCTCTCTCTGGAGACCCTGCCGACCGGATGGCGCCTGCTCCCACTGAGGATGGGCCTCCCCCACTGCACCCACTCACTGGCCACCTCCTGCGGGAGACCCCCAGACACCCTCAGAAGTCATGCTCTCCCTGTTCCTGGGGTAATCCTCGAGCCTAAAACTAACCATCACAAGGGGCCTCCAGAATGATGAAAATAAAACATGGTCAGATTCAGGAGGCCTGTGAGTGTCCAGCTGCCCAGGATCAGTCTGCAGAAGGGAGACTGTTCCCTCCCTGCTGTTTCACTCACCAAGCCTGCATGCAGGTGAATGTTTGTTGAATGAACGGATGATGGGGAGAGGGAACAGATGGGAAGCAAGCAAGGATATCTAAAGCTGCTGAGGGATCCACAATCTCTACCGCCTCTCCCTCATATCCCAGGAGGACCTGGTGGTGGGTGGGTCACAGGGAGGGGTTCTGAGGGAGAAAGGGGGTGCAGGGCAGTGGAATACAGTGACTGGGGGCCTCGAACAACTGCACCCCCAGTCTGACCCTCTTCTCTAGAGCCAAATGCCCAATCCCACCCAGGCACAGTACCCCAAGCTGGAGAACAGTGGGTCTTGAAGGAAGATGTGGCTGGTGGTCCATGTGGGCAGCAGCCCAGGGTGGGTGCAAGGCTCTGTTCCTCCACACCCAGCGCCGGAGGTAGCCAGGCGCTCTGCCACCAGAGTCCTGGGGCTCTTGGGCCCAATATTCAAATAGATGTGGAAGTCAGGGCCTGGGCTATTTTTAGCAGACTCCAAGGCAGGGAGCTAAGGCTGACTCGGAGCAGGGTGGGCACAATCTAGAAGAGCACAGAATCGGCCTGGGAGGCCAGGCTAAGGAACTGTCCCCTGCTCCTGCTGGAGTCACCTGCATTTTGGTCCCAGGTCCCCTAAGGGCCTGTGCTGTGGGTGTTTATTTGGGGTGGGGGCCTAGATCCCTGGGCCCAGCTTTCTTTCGTTCTGTGGGGTTTTTATTGAGTAGGCACCTGCTTTTCTGAGAAAAGATAAATCCCAGTTACCTGCAGGGGCCAACAGCTTGCCCAGGGGCCCACCAGACTTCCACTTGGAGGCTGTCCAGCTCTGCCTTTGAGGCTGGCTCGTACCTCACCTCTTCTGTATTTGTTTCCCGTGGCTGTGGTAATAAATTGCCATAAATGTGGCTTAAAACAAGAGCGATGTGTTCTCTCCGTCCTGGAGGCCAGCAGCCTGCAGCCAAGACTCTGCAGGCTGCGCTCCCTCTGCAGGCTCCTAGGAGGCGGCTGCAGTCTGGCCTCGGCGCTCCCTGGTTTGCAGCTGTAAGGCTCCATTCTCTGCCTGTGTGGTCACTGGATTTCTTCTTGGTGTGTCTGTCTTTTCCTCTTAGAAGGACACCAGTCGTTGGATTTAGGCCCATTCTAATCCAAGGTGACTTCATCGCAAACCAATTACATCAGCCAAGACCCTATTTCCAAGTAAGGTCACATCCACCAGATTGGGACATTGGTAGATCTTTATGGGGGGACCCAGTTCAACCCATGATCCCTGTGTCCTCACCTGTAAGTGCGCAGGTGAGGTGGCCTTGAAGAGGTGGTGAGGCCAGCCCGTACCTGTTATTTCCTCCACTCTTTGGGGTGGGGAGTTGAAGAAGGAATAGATAGGCAGATGTGGCTCAGGCAGGAAGGGCTGGGGAGCCTACAGTGTCCCCAGGCACCAGTGTCTGGTCCCACATCTGGGCCACAAGTTCTTTCCAGTGTCCAAGTTCATGTCCTCCTGCTACTAGCTGTCCCACCACCCGATTAGAGTTCCAGACAGGATTCAGAAGGGGGGGTGTGGAACAAAGAGCTCTTAAAACCCCACAGTAAGAAAACAGCCCAATTTAAAATGAGCCAAAGACCTGGACATCTCACCAAAGAAGACACACAGAAGGCAAGTAGATGTGCCATGATGCTACATCCTATGTCCTCAGGGAAATGCAAATCAAGTCAACTACTTCACATCTACAAGAATGGCCCTAATCCAACAGTGACAACACCAAATGCTGACCCTCAGCTCATTTGATGCTGGTGGAAATGCCAAGTGTCATAGCCACAGCTTGGCAGTTTTCACAAAACGAAACCATTCTAACCATACGCTCCACCAATCACGCGCCTTAGTATTTATCCAAATGAGCAGGAAACTTCTGTCTACCCAAAGGCCAGCACCCAATATTTATAGCAGTTGCATTTCCAAGTGCCCAACTTGGAAGCAATCAAAACGTCCTTCAGTAGGTAGATGCATTTCAAAACGGTTCCACCCAGAGATGGAATATTATCAAGCACCAAAAGAGCCGAGCTGCCAAACCATGAAAAGACATGGAGGAGACTCAAAGGCCAGAAGCTTGGTGAAGGAAGCCAGACTGAAAGGGCCATATACTGTGTGATTCCAACAATAAGACATGCTGAAAAAGCCTAAACTATGGAGACGGTCAGAAGATCAGGGGTTAGGTGGGAGGGACCCATAGAGCACAGGGCATTGCTGGGGCCGTAAAACTACTCTGTGTGAAGTTATTAAGGTGGAACTTGTCATTCAACATTCGTTCAGGCCTGTAGAAGGCGCCACACCGAGTGGCCCCCAGTGCAAACTATGGGCATCAGGTGACAATAATGTGCCAGGGAAGGTCCACAGATCGTGGCAAATGTGCTGCTCTGGTCAGTGTGGATGGCAGAGAGAGGCTGTGCAGAGACGGCGCAGGGGTACACGGGAAAGCTCTGAGCCTACCTTCCACTCAATTGTGCTGGAAACCCAGAGCTGCCCGAAAGAACAAAGTCTGTCTTAAGGAACAGGCTTGGTTTTTAAAGGAAGGCTTTGGCCTGGCACCTAAGCTTCCCCCCACCCTGTTCCTGCCGGACAGGACCACAGCAAAGGCTTGGCTTAGCTCTTCTTTCTTCCATCTCTATTTGGCTCAGAGAGAGATGCAGACAAAGAGGGACCTGGGCCGAGTCTCCCTCCACCTGTGTGCCTGGCTAAGGCCTTCAGCCATCAAGGCGGGCACAGGAGGATTTCTGAGGCCCCAGGCAGCTCTGGTGACCCACTATGGCTTTGATCTCCGTGAGCGGGTTTGCTTGCACGAGGTCTCTTACCTGGCATTACGTACAGTAAAGGCTGGCAGAGTTGCTGCTGCCTGTGAATTTAATCTATCAAAAAACAGATGGTGCCTAGGGGCCGCCTCTTCTGTCTGCAATGCCTACAGGTACCTGCTTGGTCTGTTCCAGGGACCCAAAGTGTGGAGCCCAGGCCTCTGGGGGCTTCTCAAAGACTCAGATCCCACTCTTGGACCCCACCAGAGCTGCCAAATCAGAGATACCAGAGTGGGGCCCTGCAGGCTGGAAAAACCTCAGTGCTGCTGGCACACAGGGATGGATCATTGCCCGAGCCTGGGCCATCCTCGTGCATTGTGGGATGCAGACCCTCAGCCCTGGGCTCTACCCACTAGGAGCCACCCCCCAGCTCATGACAATCAAATATGTCTCAGCACAGTGCCAACGGTGCCAAACCTGCCCAAGGCTGAGAAGCCTCGGCTGGAAAGAAGCCTCCAATTGTGAAGTGTCTCAAATATAGTGCCGTATAAAACCACAAACGTATGCTAAGCGCCATGTAGCTATCACCCTAGTGGAGTAGACTGTCTGCTCCTCAGAGCAACTTTGAGGTGGTCCCCATTTTACAGCAAACCCCAGCTCCCTGCTTACAGGCTGTGTGCCTTGTGCAAGTTACTTAAGCTCTCTGTGCCTGTTTTCTCAACTGTAAAATGAGGGTATGATAGTACGCACCTGATACAATGGCTGAGCACATAAAAGGACAACTTGTGTGTCACGTTCCCAGCCCAGGGCCCCAAGCACTACGAGCCTCGGCAAACGTTAGTAAACGTTAGCCACTCCCGGTTACCTGGCCCAAGCTTTTACCAAAACACAGTTTGTGTTCCCAGCCTCCCCACTGGAGCCCGCTAGAGGGTAGCAGAGGGAGGCCAGTCTGAGGAGGGCATGACTGCTAGTCACACATGGGACAGTGACTAGCAGGGTGCCCACCGCCACAGTGCCGGGCAGCTGAGGGCTTCACAGGTTTCTGGCACCTGCAGGGACTCCCCTTGAGCAGCCCGAGCCAGGCAGCGCCGAGCTCCGCAGCCTCAGAGCTCTGTGCTCTGAGAGTTTCGGGTGAGGTCTGGGGCCCTAGATATCTACCTTCCACCCAATGGGTAAGCTCTGGGGCCCAGGAAAAGATGAGGGATAGCATAGTTCTTCTTCAGCATCTCACATCCCAACAAAATATTTATTATTTCAAGAAATAAATCTTTAAAAAAAAGAGAGAGAGAAAGAGAAAAGTGTGTCTCTATTGCTTTCCCCCGACAGGTCAGGTACTTGGGAACTGCTGTTTCCTGCAGCTGAGGGCTCTGTGGTGGCAGGGTCCACCAGGCCAGGAGGGGACCTATGCACCTTCAGCCCCATAGCAGGGCCCAGCTCCGGGCCCCTTGGCCTCCCTGGGAGGGCTGAGGGCAGGCCTTGCCTCTCCAAGCAGGGGTGGGATTACAAAACAGCAGGTGTGGCAGTGTTTCTGCAGGCCAGACCCGCCGAATCAGACAGGGCTCTGGGTGTGGGTGGAGGGGCAGGCATGCTGCACGGAGATGGGTGCTGAGGTGGTCCAAGGCTGCAGGAAGCTGGAGGGAGGGGCTCAGACGCAGCAAGATGGGGTGGGAGCTGCCTCGGAGCTGGTGGAACCGGGCAGGGTGTGCCATGGGCTCCATGCCAGACCCTGCCTGCAAAAGGTGCGTGCTGGGGAGGGAGGACAGGGCCTGGGCCCTGTGTGGTCCCAGAGCCTGTGGTCAGAGGGTGGAAACTGGCCCGGGGGGGGGTGCGGGGGTAAGGGGAGTGGGACTGAAGCTGCACAAACAAATCCAGGGTCTGGAATTGCAGGTCGTGGCAGGATAGGTTCTGAGAGAAGCCCAAAGTGAAGAGCGTTGGAACAGGCAGGAGAAAGAGAGTCCAGCTGGGGCCTGGGAGGCCTCTGTGCACCCAGCTGGGGGTCCAAGCGCAGAGGGGGGAAGGGGGAAATCAGGAGAGGTGAAGGGGAGGGCGGGATGGGGCCAAGGAGGCATGGGCAGGGTCTCTCGCCCCCCACCTCTGCCTTCTATCCATGCCCTAATCAGTTCCAGAGGGACACGTCTGGTCCTGTGTGCGTGGCTGCCCTCCCAGAAAGAGGGCACCCTGAAAAGCGAGCATTGCCCAGGTTTGCCCTCCATTCCGGGGCCCCTTCAGTGGAGCACAGGCAGCGTGGCCCTGCCCCCCATCGTGCAGATGAGGAGGCCCTGGTCCGTTCTCTATGTGGTTCCAATCTCGCCTTGAACGAAGCAAGGGGACTCAGACCCCTTGCTGCTGGGCTGTGCATCTGAGGTGAGAATGAAGAGCTGCCCAGGGCGGGGGGCTGGGGGTTGCTGCCTCCCACCCCTGGGCTCAGCTCTCCTCTGCCCACTTCCTGGCCCGGGAAGGAGGCTCCAGCTAGAGGCGTCACGGTGCACGCTCAGGCGGTCGGAGCTGGGAATCTGCTGGTGCTTTCTCCTGCATGGGAGCCTGGCCGGGGTGCCAGGCAGTGTGGCTTCCAGAATCTCACAGGCAGCCCTGGCACAAGGCCACCTGGCCCTTGCGGAAGTCACGACATGGGCAGAGCCGCTGGTACTTGGTGCTGGCGCCAGCACAGCTGAAGAGCAGGGGCTCCTTCTGCAGGTAGCACTCCTGGCCGGGCTGCGCGAGGGCTGGGTACAGGTGGTGCATCTCCCACTCTGTGCTGTCACAGGGCACCTGCAGCCTGCATGGGCACCAGTGGCACTATCACCCATGGTGGGTCTGACACTGCCAGCCCTTCCCTACCCCTGATGGGGGAAGAGGCAGGTTGCAGCTCCTTATCCACCTGTCTGAGGACTTGCAGAAAAGGGGACTGGCCTGAGGAGAGGGGCTGGGGTCCCATCTGGCCCAGCAAGAAGGCAGCTTTCATGGTCTACACACAGGCGGGGGGGGGGGCGGGGCGGGGAAGGCAGGAGTGGGTGGTTTGGGCTCCGCCAAGGGTGTAGTGGGATGACAGGGACACGTCCTGGAGCCTCCGAAGGACTGGGAAGCGTGAGGTCCCCCAGGCATGGCACAGCAGTCCGGGCTGGGGGTGAGGAGCTCTGGGCACCTGGGCAGGTGAGGGATGGGGAAGGCACTCACTTGAGGAAGGCGTCCCGGCTGTTGAGGAAGGGGAAGAAGGAAGGCTCGCAGATCAGGCCGTGGTCCAGGCAGGCGTCACTGCAGGTCCTCCCAGGGGCGGCCAGCCAGGCCCGCAGGGAGCGAGTCGGGGGCCAGGCCCCAGGGGCCAAGCTGGCGTTTCGAGCCCATTCCAGGTGGGTGGCATTGGGGGCCAGGACAAAGGGGCTCTGGGATGCGTGGGCACCTGGTAGGGTAGGGCCTGGGGCTGCACAGAAGTCCTGGCAGGAGGAGAGTGGTATTGGGGAGGGGCCGGGATGCAGGTGCCCTGAGTGACACCTGAGGGTCTGGACCTGCGGTTCCGGGGAGAGCCGCTACTGGGCACTTGCTGAATGCCAGGCAGCACTGCATGCCTGGTGTCATTTGTTCTGGGCAGCAGCCCCTCCGGACGGACACTGCATATCTCCAGATACTGCATGGAGAGGGACAGGCTCGGGGGGCGGGGCTGCAGGGCTCCGGGCTGGACAGCAGAGGCAGGGCGTGAACTCAGGCCTGTCTGCAAGGCGTCCATCCCTACAGCCCACTGCAGGCCTGGGGTTTCTGTCTGAGGCCTGTGAGGCCTGTCCATGTGCAGATGGCCTCGGGCTGCCTGTGATGCTGGCCCCATCAGCTCAACTCCAGGGACAAATGTCCTCCGAATACTTTTGCCTCCCCTTCCTTTGCCTTGCTGCCTTGGTTTGCCTTCTTTCCTTCTCTTGCCTTCCTGGCCCCTCCTTCCTTTCCTTTTCCTTTCTCCATGCCCCATAGTTTCCTCCCTCCCTCCTTCCCTTCCTCCCTCCTTCCTTCCCTCCTTCCTTCCCTCCTTCCTTCTGCTCTTTCTTCCCTCCTTTCCTTATTTCCTCCCTCCTTCCTTTTTCACTTGAGCACTGGGGATTGACCCAGGGTCACTCTACAACTGGGCTACTTCCCCAGCATTTTCACTTTGTATTCGAGACAGTCTCCATAAGTTGCCTAGGCTGCCACCCCCCTGCCTCAGCCTCCTGAGTAGCTGAGATTACAGGTGTGAACCACCATGCCTGGCTTGGCAAACACTTTTTCTGTGAGCTTCACAAAGGGCACCTTACAGCTGGCTGGGCAGAGCAAGCCCTGGCCCCGAAGCCTCCATTCTATGACCCAATGAGCCCTCCCCTCTGGGGGCCTCCAAATGCCCATGGTGAAGGGGCAGGCAGGCCAGATTCTCCCTGCCTCTCAGTGCCTAACAGCCGTGCCTCAGAGAGCGCAGGCCCAGTGCAGCTCATTGCCAGTCATCCAGAGACCCGGAGCCTGACAGCACCCATCTGCCTGGGCCATGCAGGGCTGGCAGGTACTCCCAGGAGAGGGCAGGCAGGTCCCTGAGCATCTCCTGGCCCGAACCACACTTGCTGGCTTTCAGTTGTTCTGAGCCACAGGATGTGGAGCAGAGCCATCTGCTGGGTGTGTAGCCTGCACAGACCCTGGCACTGGCTCGGCCCCTCCTCTGGTCCGAAGGGGTTTGGGGTGGGATCCCCAAGTCCCCGGGGCAGACATTGGAGGGCCCACCTACCTGGTGCTGGATGTAGGCATGGATCCGCTCCAGCATCCCCTGGCAGGTGTACTCGTAGGGCAGGTAGGGGTCTACCTGTGGGAGAGACAGACAGGGGTGTGGGGCAGAGGAGAGCTGTCCACTGAGGTTCCCCACACTCGGCCCTGGGGTGCAGACCTGGGGAGCTCTCAGGGCCCAGGGATCCAACCTCGCCGTCCACCTGGCTCCTCTATTCAGCTCAGTCCTGTCCTCAGTATGCCCTGCAGTGGCCCTCAGGGACTCAGGCTCAGGACGTACAAGGCCCGCTGTCTCCTGGCCTTGTCCCTTCTTGCCTCCTCCCAGCTCCCTGTGCCCATAAACCCAGTGCTCAGTCCCCTTCTGGGCTATAGTGCTCCCCTTTTCCCAAGTACCCTACCCAGCCCGGGCAGTTCCAGAGCCCCTGCCCTCCAGGTACAGGACCACACATCTCGGTGGCTCCCAGCACCCAGACTCCCTCCCAGTGCAATCCAGCACCTGTGTCACGGGCTCCTATTCATTCTCCTGAGCCTGTGGGGCCCCTGAGGGTGGGACCATAGCTTGTCCATCACCCAGTGTCTGGCACGGTGCCTGGCACACAGTAGGCCCTCAGGAAATGGTCACTGCCTGTGTCCTGCAGGTGGCTCCTGGTCCTATGGAAGAGGTGACACTCATAGGCCTCACACTGTCTGTCTCCATGTCCAGTAGTCACCCAGTGGTCTATCCAAGGGAGCATGGGTGTAAGAAGCCAGGAGAATCAAGCGATGAGGTGACCCAGGAGCTAAGTGCGTGACTGACCCCTTAACTGAGCACCCCTTTTCTGTGCCTCCTACCCACTTGGGCCCTGCAGAGCTACCCTGGAGGAAACTGCTGGTCTGGAAGGAAGAGGGGCAAGAGCGGACAAGCCAGAGCACCGGGAACTGGGGGAGAAATGCCCCAGGTCTGGCTTCTCCAGGACAGCTCCCGGCCGCCTGCGTCACTCCTGCCTTCCTCCCTGAGAGCACCTCCAAATAAAGTACTAAAATCCCCGCCTCGGGGTCTGCCCTAGAGGCACCCAGTCTCAGACAGACTTTGACCTCAAAGGACTTAAAGTAGGAAAGGGGATCAATTAAGCTGATTCCCGAGAGGGCAGGGAGACCCATGAAGGAGGTCACGAGTCGGCCACCGTGCCAGCTTCCTCTGTTACAGCTAAAGACTGGCATGCGCCGTGGCCCAGGGACTTCCTACATGGCCCGAGAGCTACAGAAACACTGATGTGAGGAGGGACAGATGAGGATGTTCCATTAGGAACAGGCGCTGGGCAGGTGGGGATCCCAGGCAGGAAGGGACTTCGTGGCACCATCTGCTGAGGCCACAGGCTAGGACTTGGGGTCCTGCGTGGTAGTGGCTGATGTACAGAACCCAGGCAGCTTTAAAAAAAAAGTGCTCTGCCTCAAGCTGGGGGGAGTACAGGCCAAAGCTGTACCCTGAAGCCTGGAGGGATGCGGCCCTGCAGCCTCTTCCCTGGACAAACACAAACGGTCATGGTGCATCCTCCCTGGGCACAGCCCACCTTGCAGAAGGGACACAGCTGTGGCGTCCCTCCCTCCACCATTTGTCCTCTGCCACCATCCAGCCAGAGCCACCCAGGCAGCACAGCACCCAGGAGGGGCCCGCTCCCTGGGCAGTTGGGGGACATGGGCAGGGTGGTGATTTCTGCTCAGCCTGGCATCTGAGCTGCAGCCGGAAGTGGGCCTGGAAGGGCCAGGGTGAGAGGAGCCCATCCTTCTCCTAGCTCAGCCCTCCAGGCAAGGAGCTGCTGAACAAGGGCACCATAGGAGGCCAGGCTGGCCCCTACCACGGAGCGGAGTCTCTAGGGCCTCAGCCCTCCCTTGAGTGTGCCCACACGCCGCTCACACACACTCCCTGAAGAGGACCTGAGCTCCACCCCTGCACGCTCAGTGTGGCCCCTGGGCCAGCACTGTGGCCACCGCTATTACAAACGCTGGAGCAGAGCCCCACCCCGACTTGCTGAATCACAACTGACAGGCTCTCCAGAAGAGCTGTGTGTACTTTAGAGCTCGAGATGTGCTGCAGAAAGGCTACAGACCCACACAGTTCAAAGAACCTCCATGGCTTTAACCAGAGAACATTTATTTAGTATCTAACTTGTGCCAGGAGTGGTCAGAGGCCTGGTCCTCCCTCCAGAGTGCTCGGTAAGTGATCCTGGATCCATAGCTGCCAGGCAAGGTTGTGCAGATTGCTCACTGCACAAAGCATTCTCTCTCCATATCCACACACCAAGGAGGTGAGGGAGGGTCCCTGCTCCACTCTCTAAGCCACATGCTAGGGCTCAGGGCTATGCTTGACAGGGACAGAGCGGACTCCTCTGCCAAACTGGGAGCAAGTCTGAGTTCCCCCAGACGGGCCCTGTCCTCTAACAACAGCAAAGACCCTCGGTATGTGCCACGGGGGTCCCGCTGGATCTGGCTCTCACCTGGGTTTTCATGATGGCCTTGATGGCTGCCTCAAACTCCTCCGAGTTGTTGTAGTCCACAGTCCACACGTGGGGTTTGCCGATGAAGTTCTCGGCGTAGGGATGCTGGGAGAACACCTGCAGGGGCGGCCAGCTGTCTCCCCGCACTCCCACGGGCCCTCTCTCCCCCAGCAGTCTCCCTCCCGGGCTGGCCCAGGCCCTCTGCTCACCTCCCTGGAGGTGGGCTTGCCCCGGAAGAACTCGTGGTTGAGGGAGCTGTGGGGGGGGCTGAAGCGCGACTGCAGGAAGACACAGCCATTGGCGATGGCCTCCAGCGGAGCTGGGCCCTCGTAGGGGAAGCCAAAGCCTATGAAGAGCTGAAGCGGTGGGGTGATACAATGGTTAGAGCAGGCCGGGCCACTCGGCCCAGGAGCCCCAGGCAGTCGGGGCAAGAAGTGGGGTGGGGCGTTTGCAGGAGGCAGCAGGCAGTAAAGAGCCCAGACTGTCTTGGCCATGGGCCAGCCCTTCCCTCCCAGGCCTCGGTTTCCCCTTGTGAAATGAGAGGGTTCAGCTCTGTACCACCAACTTCTCCCTCTTCAAGCTGTGGGTCTGGAGGGGAAGGGAAAGAGCGGGGGTCCCAGCACAGAAGGCTGCAGACTGGGGCTGCAGCTGGCCTCAAAAGACCTCCACTCACTCATCCTAAAAATGAGTTCAGCACCCACGGGTGCTAGGCGTGCACGTGGGGCTGGTGCCCGGACCGTGCTAATAAAAAGCTCTGAACCTAGGGCTTCTGGGCGAGGTTGTTCAGGTTCTTCACTGCACAAGTCTATCCTCTGCTTTCCCCTGCTCCCAACACACACACGAGCACACACGCACCCAAGAGACCTGAGGAAGGAAACTATGAGATCAGGGAGGGCCCGGGTGTGGGCTGGAGCACCTCCATCCTCAGCTGAGACTCCAGGGCCAGCAGCAGGGCTATGCCTGCTGCACCAGCTGCTGCTGGGGGGGATCTGCCCCACGACTCCAACACAGATCCCCTGGGCCTGGGCTGCCACTGCTCAGTGGCTCCCAAAGTTCAGCCTGGCTCAGAAGCCCATTGGGCAGCACTGGTACTGATGGGACAGCTGGGCAGGCAACTGTTCTCCCCACCCCTGAGTGGTCCTGGTGGCCCCTCCCTGTAGGGCCTCCCTGCCTGTGGGGCAGCCGCCTCTGGCCCTGGGCTCTGGCCACCCCCCCGGGGGACCAGGTGGAGGGCTGAGGGCAGCAGAGCACACTGGTGTGTGTGCAGGGGAGAAGCTGTGCGGGGCAGGAGCAGCCCTGGCCAGCATGTTGAAATGACCTCCTCAGCCTGACCGTGGCTGGGCAGGGGAGGGTCAGTGCCAGGGTGGGGCTCACTTTGGCTTTTCGAAGCAGCTGCTGGAACTCAGGCTGTGGCAGGAGGCCATGGTTCTTCACAAAGGCTGGGACCTCGGGGGGCCGCTGGCTCTCATAGTACACTGTGCCATGGATCTCCATGTACTTGTTCAGGATGGCCAGGAACTTCTCCTTCCCCTGGGGGAAGATGAGAAAGAAATGGGACCTCATCCTGAGTTTGGAAGCAGAGGCAGTGAAGGAGCCATCTACCTACCCATCTATCTACCTATCCACCATCCACTCACCCATCCACTCACCTGTCCATCCATCCGTGTACCTGTCCACCCATCCATCTACCTGTCTGCCATTCATTTACCTGTCCACAATCCATCCACCCATCTATCCACCTGTCCATCTGTCCATTCACCCATTCAGCCACCTGTCCATGTATCCATCTACCTATCCACCCATCCACCCATCTGTTCATTCATCCATACCTGTCCATCCATCCATCCACTTGTCCATCTAGCCATCCATCCACCTACCCATCCCTCCCTTTCTCCACCCAGCCTAGGAGGGGAACATGGATGGAACTCCATGCTTTGGGTCGGAACTCTAAGGGAGGACTGGAAGGAAGGGTGGTCAGACCCAGAGCCACCCTTGCCAAGGCTGGATATGTTTAAGTTTCCTCAATCACTATAATTGATTAAGGTGATCTGGGACTGTGAGGGCCCCCAGCCACAAGCCAAGAGTAAAAGCAAATCTTCTCTAAAAGAAAATAGCATCATCCTTGACCCCAACTATTTCTATAGTTTTTTATATTCATTTTCCAGAACTAAAAAAAAAAAAAAATAACCAATGAGATTTTAATAAAAATCCCAGCAGGCTTTTTTTTGGTAGAAATTAACAAGCTGATTCTAAAACTCATTTGTAAATGCCAAGGACCTAGAATAGACAAAACAACTTTGAAGAAAGTTAGCAGACCTATTACCTGATTTCGGGACTTATCACAGAGCTACAGTAATCAAGACAGTGTGGTACTGGCCCCAAGAAGATGAACAGGTTGATGGAACCAAATAGAGTCCTGGAATAGACCCTCACATGTGTGGCCAATCGATTCTCGACAAAAGTGCACATTTCTGTGAAGAAAGGAAGGATAGTCTTTCCAACAAATGGTTGAGGAACATTGGAAATCCACATGGAAAGAAGAGGGTGGGAGAGGTGGGGACAGGAAGAAAGGCACGGAACAGTTTTCTTTCCAAGGGAACCCAGTGGGGACCAACATTACATGGAAGGGAGAGAAAGCAAGAACTTGATACTTCATATTATACATAAAAATTGATTCAAAATGGACTCAGATGCAATGCTTCAAACTGTGAATTTACAGAAGAAAAATAGGAGAAAATATTTATGGCCTTGGGGTCCACAAAAATGTCATGGATACAACTACAAAATCACAATTCAGACCAGAAAGCTGAGTACGTGAAGAGAATAGATTCTACAATTAAAAACCAAGGAAACAAAGAGTGGGCACACACAGGAGACCCAGATTCCGGAGCCACCAGATACAGATTTCAAGCTAAATATGCTGCACACAGTCAAAGGAAGAGAAGGAAAGATTGGAAACCAAACAGAAATCCTAGAAAAAGAAATGTAATGATTGAAATTAAGAATTAAATGGATAGACTTAACAGTGAAAGAATTCATTTAGTGAAAGAATGAAGCACAGAGAAACTGAAGGGTGAAAATTACAGCAGAGAATGTAAGAAAGAAAGAGGAAACCATGGAGATTTGTGTGTGGATAAATGGAGTCCCAGAAACAAAAGAGAGAAACTGGGGCAGAAGCAATATTTAAAGAGAATTTTATAAAACTAGTGAGCTATCAAACCACGGGTTTGAAAAGACCTGCAAACTCCATATAAGTTTTTTAACAACCACACCTATGCATATAGTAAAACTGCTGAAAGCCAAACACAGAGTTAAAAGCAGGCAGAGGAAAAAAGGGAAAATTACCTACAAAGGAGCCACAACAAGGCTTACAGCTGCCTTGCAATGACAGAAGCCAGAAGACAGCAGATTCTTTCCATGCTGAGAGAAAGCAACCAACCTAGAATCCTGCACATGGCAAATATATCTCTCAAGAATAAACATGAAATAATGGCATTTTTTAGAAAATCAAAAGCACAGCCAACCCAAACTACAGGTGTTCTTTATGTAGACAGGTAATGATCCCAGACAGAATCTCAGAGACAGAAGTAGAACACAGAGCAGCCTAAAGAAAAGGCACGGATAAATCTAAATAAATAACTGTAACATGCTGCAGGGTGTAAAATAAATATAGAGAAGTAAAATGTAATAAAAGCATATCCATTGGGGAGAGATGAAGTAAAACATTTTGTTTCCTTTCTTTTTGTGGCGAGTACTGTGGATCGAACCTGGCCCATTCACACTGAGCTACATCCCAGCCCTTTTTCTATTTTTTTTTATTTTGAGACAGGGTCTGTCTAAGTCACTACACTTCTCAGGCTGGGTTTGAACTTTCAATTCTCCTGCCTCAGCCTCCCAGAGTGCTGGGATTATAGGCGTGCACCACGACAGCTGGCTACCCTGCTGATTCTCTAACCCATAGCTGTGATCCCACACTTCCTCCCATGCCTGGTCCATTTCCTCACACCTCACAGAGGGGTCCTAAGTTTGGAGGGGTAGTCTTTCCCCAGGGCAGTTCTAACAACTAACTTGCCCAGGCTGAACTCAAAGCTCTCGATCCTCCTATCTCAGCTTCCCAGGGTTTAGTTTCTTTTCTTACTAAAGGTAAAAGTATTCATTTACAATTAGACTTTGGTAAGCCAAGGACACATGTTATAGTTTTTGGATCCATCACTAAAATAACATAAAAGAGGGGCCGGGATTTAGCTCAGTGGTTCCGCCCCCTGCCTTGCAAGAGCAAGGACCTGAGTTCGATCCCCAATACCAAAAAAAAGAAAAAAAGAAAAAAAATAACATTAGAGAGTATAGTAAGTCAGGTAAAGGAGGGTGAGTGTGTACAGGTGCAGCTAGCACATCTCCATCTCGGGCATCTTCACTGTTAGCCTTCACTTCCTGTTGCCTGCCTGTGTCACTAACCCGTCCAGCTCTGCCCTCCCAGCCCTAGCCGCTGCCTGTGGTCAGGCCAAGCAGGACTTGGGCACATGGCAGAGAGTTTCCATACCTGGAGCTGCCTCATCACCATGGGAGCACAGGGGACAGAGGAGAGAGAGCAGGTTAGTGTCCGGGCAGCAGGCATCCCCCCATGCACATGCAGCTCCTCCCTGGGGCGCCAGCCCTGAACGCGGGCTTCTCATCTCTAAGCCTCTCACTGCTTCTCATCCTAGAGTCCTCACAACCCAGCCTACCTCCGCTCAGGAGGGGCTTACATCGTTTATCGATTCCTTGCTGGGGGTGGGGGGCAGAGGATTTAGCCATAGCCCTGGATAAAGGAATCCTCTGAGTTTATTGCAAACCACCTGGGGGCAGACCAGGGGACAAGCTGTCAGGGACTTTTAGTCCTGAGCCATTTAGAGGGAGACGTTTTCCATCTAGCGCTGGCGGTGGTGGATGGGAGCTGAGGTCTACGAGGAGTTGCCAGGTACTCAGTGCAGGGAACCAGTGCCTGGTCCTTCAAGCACAGCTAGCGCAGCCAGGGGGAAGTCCTGCACGATGGTGGGCGTGGCCAGAGCCAGTATGGGCGTGGCCCTCATTGCATTGGGCGTGGCATTGCTGACATAGGAGTGGTCAATAAATGTGGTCGTGACCTGGACTGCAGGGGCGTCACCAATACCGGCATGGGCGTAGCTGCTCAGCAGTGGGCGCGGCCAGCTCGATGGTGGTTGGGTGGTTGTGCGCACGCTCACCTTCCAGATACTCGTCTCCTTGCCGTACACTACGGCCATGTTGCTGGCCTTGCCGCCTTTGATGAGCTGCTTCTCCGTCTCGTTGAGCTCCTCAGACACGAAGCCCATGAAGGAGTTATCCGGGGTGTGAGCTGCAGCGCGACCACGCGGAGGGAAGGGGGTTAGCAAACAGCCAAGGACTCGCCCAAGTCTCCCTGGGCTGGCCCTGCTCAAGGGTCCTCATTGGGCAAGGTGAGGAAGGGGCGGGAAGTAGGGGTCTGGCGGGCACATCTCTGCCCTAGCCTGGGCACCTCCTTCCAGACACTGTCACAAAGCATGGAGCAGAGACCTAAGACCATTTTCAGATGAGGAAACTGAGGTCCAGGGCCACCAGTGACCCAGCCAGGACTCTGCTCCACACGATCATTCCAGATGGGACTTCCTCCCCTGCATCCCTGCCACCAGCCAGGCAACGCCCACCTCTGGCCTGGCCACTGGGACAGCTGCCTCCTGCATCTGCGGTGTCCTTTCAGTCTTTCTTCTAGAGCCATCCTTCCATTCTGGGTCCTTTTAGCTCCCTCCTCTGCACAAACCCCACAGTCCACAGCCCCCCAAGAGTCTCTGGCTCTGCTCATCCCCCCTCTCCAGATACTCTGTGCTCGAGTGGCCCTGCTGGGGAGGGCCAATCTGTCTGTTTGCTCCCTGTCCCCCTACCCTGCTTTATTTTTAGCACAACACTTTCTGACCAGATGTTATATTACATATTCATTTGTGCATTTATTATCGTCGGAATATAAGTCCCATGGATGACAGCATGAGTGCCACGTGGATGCTCCATTTTCCTACCTCTGAACTCTTGCACTTGCCTGCACGGCCCTCCTCCCTGCTCTCGGATGACAGAATCCTTTCAGTGTCAGGGTCCCACTGCCCTGTGGTCTCTTCCCAGAAGCCTCTCTGTGGTCTCTCAGCCCTCCCTTATGCCCCGCACACTGTGTCTCTGTTAAAGCAGAGAGCTCACTGGGACTTCCAAATCAGACTTCCCTGGGGTCCCCAGAACCCCACCCCCAGGCCAAGGAGTGAGGGCCATGCATTACAAGGCACAGATCCCTCCCTCCCGTGGGCTAGGACCTTGAATGCCATGTTGTGGATGAATTAAATGTAATCTGCTGTCCCTAGGTGGAAGAGCTCAGGCCAGTGGGGAGGTCAAAAGCACACTCTTGATTTCTCCATTTCAGATGCACATTCCCACATCTCAACTTTTCTCAAATCGAGGCATCCATGTTCACCAAATACGGAGGCTTTGTATGGTGTCTCTCCGGCTCCCCACCCCATGGGCGCATGAAGAGGCCTGACTAACATCAGGGCATTTTACAGAGGAGTGGGCTTCCGGTCAGTGACTGGAGAGCCCCAGATTCCTGGGTCTGAAAATCTGACCTTTGCTGACTGCAGAACAAAACCACCTCTCCTCTAGAGCCACCAGAAAGGACAGGTTCAGAACACAGCACAAGTGGTGGGAGTGGGACAGGGAAGGACCATGAAGGATGAAAATAGCAGGGACATTCAGCAAAGCAGGGCCAGGGTAAGGCCCAAGAAGCAGGCACCCCAGTCGGTGTGCTGGGACAGACAACCAGCCAGATGGGAGAGAACTGAGGTAGAAGATCCTCTCAGGCTGGAGTTTTGTTGTTGTGGGGTTTTTTTTTTGTTTTGTTTTTTTTTGATACAGGGTCTTGGTAAGTAGTTCAGGCTGGCCTTGAACTCATGGCAATCCTCCTGCCTCAGCCTCCTGAGTGCTGGGATTACAGGTGTGTGCGGCCATGTCTGGCCTGACTGGGAGTCTTTTGAACTGGTGAACCTCTCTCCTCCTTTTTGTCCCCTCTTTCTTCAATTTCTTCAATCAATTCACATTCTCTAAGGACCTACATAAGAACTCTAGAAAGAATAAGATCAATTAATTAATACCTCCTCCTTAAAGTGGTTCATAATCTGTCAGGGGAAATAAATGTATAAGCAAATAACTACCACACTTCAATATATGCTCTGTAGAGTTCAGTTTTAAAATTATAAGGATAAAAGTTAGGAGTCAATAGATTTTGCCTGGAATAGGTGATGAGGGGGACCAGTGAAACCAAGAGTAAAAAGAAGAGACACTGGACTTGGGGCTTTGCAGGATGAGTAGAAGTCTGCCAAATCTGGAACCCCCCATCCAGTGGGCTCTACCCTGGAACAACCCCGCATTTTCTCAGTGTAGGTTACTGCAGAGTCCTCTTAACCTATCTTCTACTTCCCCATTCTCTACCATCCCCTTGGGCCATCTATAACCTGCTGGTTTAATACACCTCAGTAAAATATTTTCTCCACGGCATGCTCTAGCTCAAGAACCCACAATGGATCCCAAATGTAAACTCCAGGACGTTCCCTAAACACCTCACTCCTTGATCCCTGATCCCCCAGGATCCTCTCACCAGTTCTGGCTGCTTCCTTTCTTAGCAGACTCCAGCTCTGCAGCTCTTCCCCTTAGCATCTCCTGGGGCATCTCCACCCCCTCGCCCACACTTCCTTTCCTCCCAGAAGTCTGTTCCCCGGGACCTGCCCTACGCAAACCACTCTTTCCAGCGCTTCTCAGCCTTCTGGCTAAGACCAAGTGCAAACACTCTTTCCACAGCAGGGCACCGAGGAGAGTCTGGTGCCCACAGAGCTGTGTGACCTCAAGCAAGTCCCTCTGCCTCTCCAGACCTGTTTCCTCCTCTGGACTCCATGCAACCTTCCACCATCCCACCCTCTGGGAGCCAATGAGCCATTACTCATTTCTTCAGAAATCACACCCTTTCCCTAGGCAGCCTAGAGCCTGGAGAACAAGATGCGCATGCGCAAAGATGAGCACTCAAAAGAGACGGCAAATTTGACAGGGTGAATAAAGATCATTCACTGTACTCACCGGTGAGCCCCTCAGGACTTTGCCTGGAATCCGTTTTGCTCTTAATTTAGATACAGTCCTAACAAGTGTGCTTATCTGGCTTTCTAGCCCACAGCCTTCAAAGAGCAGCAAATTAGACGTGCAAGATGCCACTGGAAGCGGCAGAACTGACAACAATTAAAAGTGACAGCTGACACACTCCCAGCAAGAGCCAGGCTACATGGCAGACCGGGCGGGACAGAGGGGACTCGGCTCCACACAACCGGGCCCCAAGGGCAGGCCCTGCACCAGAGCCGGAGAACTCCCGGAGTTGCCGGGAAAGGTTCAATTATTTTCAGCCCACAGCACCTAACAGGGTCAGTCCGTGTGAATTCCTACTTAGGATCCCATCGGAAATAGTGAAGCCAGCAGTCTTGGCCTACGTCTAGAACCCCAGCACTCTGGGAGGCTGGGGCAGGAGGATCACAAATTGGAGCCCAGCCTGGGCAACTCAATGAGACCTTGTTTCAAAATTAAAACTAGAAAAGGGGCTGTAGGTCAGTGGAAAGGCCCTGGGTTGAATCTCTAGTATTGGGAAGGAAAACAGAAAAGGCAAGAGCTTGCTCTCCTCCAGCTTCTAACTTTCAGCCTCCTGCATTCCCAGAACCTTTCAGTTTCTTTGCACATCCACCCGAACACATCTGCTCCCTCAGCTTGTAGCAGGTTTCCTGCTCCCCTGCCCCGCAGGAGAAGTTTCCAGCCCTCTCTGAGGCCCCAGGCTCCCTCCTGGCGAGCGCCCGGCCAGAGGCCCCGCCCCCGCCCCGCCACGCCACGCCCCCACGCCCTGGCACTCACGGAACATGGTCATGAACTGCTTGGGGTTGAGGTTCCAGTACCCCCAGTTGGTCCGGTAGCCGTGCAACGTGGCGTACTCCTCGTGGTTATATGCAGGTTCCGTCCCGAAGGTGTCAATGACCCGGATTCGGCACCTACCCCCACCCCCAGGGACCCAGAACCAGGGTCACACCTCTGTGTGTCCCTGGACTGGAGGCGCCCAGCTGGGGGCGCTGTACCCGGCAGGTGGCTGGGTCAGGGTAGTGCCTAGCGTGCATGCGTGGCTAGGGCTTGGGGAGCTGTGTGACCTCAGACAATTCCTTAACCTCTCTGCATCAGCTTCCCCACCTATCTCAGGGCTGTTGGCAGCTCCTGACCCTGGTCCACAGTGGGAGCTCAGAAGCTGTTACTGGGGATGGGCCGGGGATGCGGGTCCCCACTGCCCCCAGGTCACCTGTAGGATTTGGGATTTGCATTTTTCTGGGTGGGGAGCAACCACCCGTGGGTCCCAGGCATGAGTGGCCGTGTTTGAGACTGCAATGCCCTGAGACTCCAGGAAGTTTGCTTCCGGGGTGGGCAGAGCTCTGCCTGTCAGAGAGGCTTCAAATTCAAAGCCCAAGGGATCAGCCAACCCCAAGGCCAGATCTGCTCTGACACCACAGCCCCAGGACCTCTCCACTGCTCTTCCCACCCTGGAAGTGTCCCCCTGAAGAGGAGCACTAAAATGCAGACGACACCCCCACCAGAAGCTTCTAGCCCTGGCTCCTTCCTGGTGATCCAGAATCCGCAGCAGAATGCTGAGGTTGGCAATATTCCCTCGGAGAAGGGGCCGGGGAGGAGAGCGCCGGGTGCATAGAGAACTCGCATTAATAATAAAAGTAATAACACTGCCTGTCACTTTTTCTTTCCCTAATAAAATCATGTGCGCCAGTCAACGGGACTGGAGCAAATGTAATAAATAGCAGGGCTCCCTGCGCTGAATTAAACCCTGCATCCCGGCTGCAGAGACAGAGAGAGGTGGCACCTGCCTGGCCCCAGACCCACTCCTCCACCCTCGGGCTCACCAGTTCCTCTTGCCACTGCTCTGACCCCTCCTTGCAGGTTACCCTTGACCCCCAGCCCCAGCCTTGAGGGACAAAGCAGAGGGACAAAGGGGGTGACTCTCCTGGGTGAAGATGGAACATAGTAAGGAGACAGAGGCAGCAGAACAGAGACAATGCCCTTCTCCATCCTGGGGCCCTGGACATGGGGCAGGGTGTGGGAAGGGGGTTCCGCACTGGCCTGCGGGTCCAGGATCCTGTTCCACACCTCGGCCCTCCCATACCCACTCACCGGTACTTCTTGAAGGAGAGTCCCATGTGCTGCTTCATCTGCTGCAGGCCATGGTAGTCAGTGTAGATGAGGTCGAAAGGCAGAGGCATGGTGAGTGGGCAGTTCCCCCGGCCTGGCGGCACCCCTAAGTTACTGAGAGAAGAGCCTTTCAGTCTGAGCCCCAAGAAATCCACCTTCCCTGAGCTGGGGTGGGGTCTGGAGCTCACCCCAGTTCTTATCACCCAGGGTGAAAAGGGTAGTTGGAAAGGGAGTGAACAGGATAGCTATGTATAATGGTACAGGTTTTTCACTGAACAAAGAAATCCAACCAGAGGGAAAGGGGACTGGGATTCATTCCAGGCTAGCCTGCCACGCTGTGCTCTTGGCCTGGACTATAGGCAAAAGGGGCTCCTTTTGTAATTGCCTCGATGTGCTCCTCCTGCAGGGCTGGATCTGCCCAGAAGGGAGCCCTTGGGAGCCTTTAACTTATACTGGCTGGTCCTCAGCTGTTATGGTTTTGATCTATAGTGCACCCCCCAAAGTCCCATGTGTTCAGAAGTGGGGCTTTTCGAAAGTGATTGGATCAAGGGGGTACTATATTCATCAGTTGATTCATCCATTGATGAGTTCATAGTTGAATCTGTTTGAAAGTGAGGCCTGGTTGGAGGAGATGGATAACTAGAAGCATGACCCAAAAGGTCCCCAGCTCCTCCTTCCTCCTTCTGCTTCCTGGCTGCAATGTGTTGAGCAGCTCTCCTCTGCCAGGCCCCTCACCATGCCATATTGCCTTGGAGCCAGCCAGCCATGGATTGAACCCTCTGAAACCATGAGCCATGAAACCATGAACTTCTCCTCTTTTGAGTTACAGGTACCTGGGTGGTATTTTGTCCTAGCAATGGGAAAGTGACTAATACACTGGTGTACCTTCAGTGTTAGTTTGGACCCAATGGTCCCAAAATTCCTGTCTCAGAAAGTTGTCTTGCCCTGCTGGCAGGGCTCCCAAGGCCTCCAGCCATACTGTGTGGCCTCCAAGCCCTCTGGGACCGGAGGCCTGCCTGTTCCTGCCTGCCAGGTCACTTACATGCCTGCTTTCATCCTGGACAGGGCTGCCTCAGGTGACCCAGGGGCTGCTGCTCATCCAGACTGGGGTGGTGCCCTCTGCTGCCTGGCAGGAGCCCTGGGTCACCTCCTCATCAGAGGCAGAAGGGCAAGGCCCAGCCTCACGGCTTCCTGTAGAATCACCACAGGCTCAGTCGCCTCCAGGAAAAGGGCTCCAGGCACCCTGTCCTGCCAACTACACTTGCCAGTCTGAACGACTTTGCTCCAACATCACCCCCCACCCATAAAACCAGCCCCTTCTGCAGAGGCCCCTGATAAGTAAATGCCACAGCCCCAGTTTTCCCCTTCGGGGGTGATGAGGCATTTGGTCACAGTCAAAGCCACGCATTCAGCAAGTCTGTACTGAGCCTCCGAGCCCAGCAAGAGTGGCCCCCCCCCCCGGCCAGAGGCGGAAGCCCAGGGTCTCACAAGGAGTCCTGAGCCTGTGCCCAAGGCCTGCCCTCCCCATGGGGTCTTCCCATTCCTCTGTTTAACAGCTATTACTTGCGGGTATGTGGGGTGGCAGGCCCTGTGCCCCAGTGAGACATGGGACACCCCCTCCCCCAGGAGCACAGCGTCAAATGAAGAGCATGTGGCCCAGGACAGAGACAGAGAAGGGAACAGACTGTGCAGACAGCAGTGAGGAGGCATTGCTGGGCTGTCCTGGTCCATTGCAGGGACAGGCAGAGCGCCACAGGGAGGGACCCCGGAGCCCCGTCCCGGACTCTCTGGACGGCTAGAGCATCTCCGAGTGGGTCTGATGAGTCCACCGCTGCCTTTGACCATGGCCACCACCTTCGGATTCTGGTTGGAAGAGACTCTGAGGGTCTCCTGGTGAGCCCCCTCCCCCAGATCCTCGCGATGGGCAAACCCAGGCCATGAGGACACCGATTCAATCATGGCAAATGACCATGACTGATCAGTTGCCTGAGTTATGTCTCGGGCTCCCCGACATCATCCAAGCCAGGTGGAAAAGTACCGGCTGGGCGGTCCAGCCGTGTCTGCGCATGCTCAGCACAGGAGCTGGGAGCGGGACGGTGCACACTGTCCCCTGAACACACTGTCCAAAGCGGCGCCTTTTCGGTGATGTCTATGGTCACCACCCAACGGGGTCAGATGGAAAGGCATGGGGGAAGCTGCTCACATGGGATCCCGGCCTGTGGGCTCTTTTTATGCCCAGCAGAGAAGAGGAAAGAAGACGGACCCTCTGCGCCTGCCCCCACCAGCCTGGGGCACCCGCCCCTCTGAGCTGCTCCACACCGACCTCCCCACCCGGTGAGAAGCAGCTCTGCTTCGTTTCGAGTCCATGCTCTGACCAATGGCCACAGCCCCTGCCTCAGCCAGCCACCCTCCTGTGCTGCCTTTCCCAGCCTGACGCACCTCCCCACGGGACTCTCAGAACCAGCACTTCTCAGCCAGTGATGCCTCTTAAGCTTTTCTGTTGAAAGGCCCAGAAAGCAAAGGAGAATGAGCACAGACCCCCGGGGTCTGGAGCTTTCCCAGGAAGCAGCTCCCACAATCTGGAGACTTCACGAAATATTGGGTGGCATTTCCAACTGTGGAACACATTCTACCTTCTACCCTGCAGGACATCCCCTTGTTATCTGTGTGAAGCACTGCTTTTCTCATCCCAAACTCCCCTGGTTAAACTGATGGCCCAGAAAGAGGCCTCACTTTTTTTTTTGGTACCGGGGATCGAACTCAGGACCTTGCACTTGCAAGGCAGGCGGCAGCACCACTGAGCTAAATCCCTGGCCCCAAGAGGCCTCACTTTTGTCCTGAAGCTCCAGAGGTGTCAGGGGGAGGACACGTCCCAGTCCCTCATCCTCACTCCCCAACCAGCTGAGAGCCACAGACAAAAGAACACAAAGATGATTCCTTGCAGAACAGAGGAAGAGGAAGCAGGTGGCCACTCCTCCCAGGTGGTCTGGTAAAAACCATGAACCATAGTCGGTGGGTCTGGGAGTTGCTCTCATCCCTGAGAAATGATGCCTTTCCCACACAGTTCCGGTTGGTTTCCAGGCAACGTGCATCCCTCAGTCCCCAGGGCTTCCTTTTGTTGACGCCCCCTCCCACCATACTCCTGACCTCCATTCTAGACACCAGGCCCCCTGAGGATAGATGAGTAACAGCAAGCAGCTGCTCTCTCCTAGGAGATGTCCCCGAGGATGTCCCCAAGGCCATCCAGGTGCCATCATCTTTTTGGCTACATTTTGGACACAGGGACCATTCCAGATCTTTCAATGTAATTCATTAATTCATTTCATGTATGAGATCAGACCCACTCACATCCTGTTCCCTTTTAGAGAGGTTTAGTAATTTACCAGGATCACACAGCCAGGAAAGATGAGTTGGGATGGAAAGCCAGACAGTTGGGCTCCAGGGCCCACACTGGCACACAAGGGGCTCTCCTGCCTCCCAGGCCCATGGAATGTCAGACAGCACAACGATGCTTGGTGGACTACAGTGATATCTAGGTAGTTAGGACCCTGCACACATGGAATGAGCAGGGGAGCAGGCTGGGTGGGGCTGAGAACCCTGCATGCATCTCCTAGTTCCATTGTGCTACCTTCACCCCTAGGGGGGCCTGGATCCCAGATGCAGAGCCCAGGGTGCTGGGGCACACATGCACTCACTCCATGTGAAGGCAAAGTTGGACCAAATCAGAAGGGCGGGGGTATTAGTGGGTGGAGGGAGGAAGCTAGGACCAGAGCAGCAGTCGCCAGCACCCACCCAAAATAAGGAGATGGACACTTCCTCTTCCCGTCACATATGATACCAGGTGTTGCAGAAATTTCAAAGTCCTGGTCACCACCCTGCCTGCTGACCCTTCAGTTTCCATGGCATGGCGCCCTCCTGCACAGAAACTGTTTCCTCCACCTAGAAGGTTGCCTGTAGCCTCCCCAGATCCCCAAGTGTCTCTCCCTCTTCCCCTCCCTCGCTCTTTTCTCTCTGCCTTGTCCTCACCTGAACACACCTAGTGAGTGACCAAGTCACTTTCTTCCCACTGGGGGCTCCTGAGGGCACAGCCTGGTCATCTTAGAAAGACTGGGACTGGAGACAGGACCCAGCCCGATAAATATCTGTTGCATCAGTGAAAGAATCAACAAATGGTTGGTATGGTGGGCCCTGGGAAGAACTGCTCCAAATGTGTGGACAGAGGCAGTGGGGAATGAGGAGCCGTGAGGCTGGGGGTCCACCTGTGTGGAGTGTGGGTGCTGCTGCAGGTAATAGGCCTGCTGGACATGAGGGCCATCCATGCACGGGGTCCCAGAGGATGGGGCAGGAGGGAGAGACTGGCCCAGAGACGCCACGCCCCCTTCCTGGAGATCTTAATGAGAAGCCCAGGGTCTTCCAGCCCAGAAGATATGGTTTCCATTTAAGGTGACCTCACTGAGGTGGCTTCCTTGCTCTCATCTCCAAGAACCTGGGCTTCCTTGCCCATGGAGAGCAGAGGGGTTAGTGACCAAAGAGTGGACCGTAGGTTTATCATCTGTAATTCTAGTTCACTTTTATGGGCAATTTTCACTAAGTGGTTGGCTGGAGCATTGGCAGGAATTGAAAAACACTGCATTCAAAAACCTCCAGCCACGGTGCCTGGGGAGGTGCACCAGGAGTCCTGCTGGAAGGGGTTCCTGCAGACCGCCCTCCCACCTCCAAGGCCCAGTTCCCGTTTCCAGTGGACATTTAGCCAGGGCTGGGTTAAAGGGAGGGTCTCAGAGCCCCCCAAGGACTGTGAGTGAGAAAGAAGGTGGGCTCTCAGCAGGAAGATACTTTAACATATCCACAGACCCTCCCTCCATTGGCCCACCAGCAGGACTGGGCAGGTGGAAGTAGAGAAAAGGTGTGTTTCTAAAGATCCCCAGGCTGCTGGAGCAGGAGTCTAAACACCCTGAGGTGGGGCGAGGAGAGGACCAGCCCAGGAAATGGGGCAGGGTACAGGTTCCGTGGTTACAGCGCAGCCTTGAACCCAACCCAAATCAGCCCCTCCAGCAGAGCAGGAGCCAAGCTCTTGGAGAGGAGGAGTAGGAATGAGGAGCTCGTATGTAACCACT